ACTGAGAAAGAAATGCATTTGAATTTCTGCTTTGTTGGTTTTTGAAGTAAACACTGGTATAGAGGCTATTCATCAAATTACATCGGTTCTAATTTATCTCTTCTCTAGGTTAGTAAAGAAAACAGAAACAGCATTTTGCAAGACATCTTGGCAGCTGTGGAATCCTGCAGAAAATGAAGACCTTTTCTTGCCTGTAAACACTGAAGCTTTTATTTCAACAAAACATTACAACATTTTGCGGATGTTTTAGAGTCTGTCCTACCTGCTTTCCCTGGGGGCTTTACTGGAGCCTTCAGAGTAAGCAAGGTAAAGCTGGTAATACTCGAAAATGTGAAAATGAGATAGCAGGAGTCTCATTTATTCAGTTCACTAAATTAAAAAAATTGAACAGATGCATCGCTAACATCCAGTTCTAATCTGGGCATTTGGAAGTTAGGTGGTCTAACTGATCCAAGTTACACCATGTGAAAACAATGAACTGTAAAATCTCCTCGAGATCTTAGTCCTTCTGAGTGTTCTGTCTGGCAAGCAATTCAGTGTCTGGAACTTAGCCCTGGTGTAACAGAACCCTGTCCAAAATGTACGTGTGTTCTGCCTGGTTTATGGTAGAAATATCTTTGCTGTTGGTGACCCAGCTTAGGTGTGCCGAGGTGTGTTTCAGTATGGGTGCTGGCAAATCATGAGGTAGAAGGAATGAGCAGATGCTCTCTCTCTCCCCTACTCCCAGACAACCTTTTCTGCAATTGCAGTATAAGAAGAGCTATCTAGAATTTCAAGAAAATTTCCTTTAGTCCCAAGTGACACTTAAAGAATTCCACTTTGGGAGGAAAAGTTGCCAAGTCTACCCTCTCCTACATGGCCCACACAATAGTTGATAAAAAGGCTGCATTTTGAGTTTGTTTACAGTTTTCTGATGGAAATCCTGTCCCACACCCCCTTAAAAATTGCATATATAAATCTTCAGGTCCATGAAGTTCAGTCAAATCTTGATTTGTGTTTTTCATGCAGAGTTCATAAAGTCAGGATCCACTTAATACTGCATTTGTCTGTATTTGTTTTACAATCCTGTGTGTTTATTGATACTTTTTGTTTGGTTGGGTTTTTTTCATTCAATTCTGTCTGTACATGCTGAATGGTGTGTTTCCCTACGAAGTGTACAAATGTGTTCAGGAAAAAGTGTTACCACTTAATCAGTTTTGCATGTTGTGAAAACAGAATTCCCTCCCAGGTGCACACTGTTCGTTGTACAATATATAGTCATCTCTGGCTGTAGAAAGTTGTTAAGAATTCAGTCATTTCTTAACTCTTTTTCTGTTCATTTCAATGATTGTTAAAATGAGCAAGCGTAATTGCATTTATTTACTTATTTCTGTGAAACATACACCCAAAGTTGCATAGGGCTGGGTGGTGCCCTGCAAACAGCTGGAAGCGTAGCGGGAATGTCCTTACTCTTTCCTATACTCAGAGTGAGGTTTGGTACAAACACTGCCCCTCCACAGATGCCATGTTAAGGGATGCCCTTCTGCCCGAATCTCTTTGGATGGGAGTATCATCTTCATCGTATTTGGGAAAAAGAAAACTCCTCTCGTGGTCCCACTCCTTTGAGAATGTACAGCTTCTGACTATTTTTGCAAAATGAGGCTGTGCCTTGAAGATACCACTAATCCCTTAATTACTTCAGCCATCTTACTCAGAAAAAACACCTTTTCAAAGGTGAAGGACTTGGGATCAAAGTAAACTTTTTCAGGGCTGTATGCCATAGATTTTTGAACAGAAACCTTTCTGCACTTAAGTGTTGGATGTCTTCCTGTTTCAACATTAGGTCTCTTAAGCAGTAAAACATGCTACAATAGAACAGTTCTTTCAATGATTAAATAATTGCCCAAAGCCTAGCAAGGTTTTAGTGGGACTGCTGTGAGGCTCAAATGAAGGCTGACCTTTAAAGCTAAATAAAATTGAGAGATTTGACACTTCTCTGTTAGTCTGGGGAGGCAGAGTTCAGTTTTCCAAATTCCAGTTCAGCCAATATTGTTGGGAGATCACTTAGAGTGGTATTTGTTCCCCATAAGAGTAGATACATTGCCCTGCATATGATGCCTACTGCAGTCCCATCATTTAATAGAGTGACCAGTGTGTTTATAGTACTTTAGGCCATTGTCTCATGGTGCAAGGAAGACCTTTTCTAGTGAGGCTGGATAGTCACTGGAAAAACTTCCAAACTGCAGGTGGATTTTTTCTTCACCAGAACTGAGTGAAGTATCAGCCCTTTTAAAACAAAGTGTATTTTTGCTACTGACATCAGTGGCTCCTGTTTTTCTCAGGATTGGTGAGAGTCTTTAATTTGTTGTTCTTTTTTTAAGCCCGTTTTTCTCTCTGAGCTAATGTTTTTCAAGAGAAATA